TTAAATCTGTAAAAATAAAAATAAAACTAACTAATTAAACTTCGAAATATAAAAGCAAGAATTAGAAAAAGTAAACTACTAATATTCGATTGAACTATTGCCAATTCCCCGACAACGACACAAAAAACTTGTTGTGGCTTTTAAACTACCTAAATTAACAGATAATTTAAAACCCTAGTTATAATTGCAAGTGCATGAGTCTATTGTACTATAGATATGCAAATACGAGTCGATCCCACGGAGATTGTTGTTCAATCGAAAATTAGAAATCTACTTAAACTAATTCGAAAGGGGGTTACTGCAATGTAAATTAATTAACTAACTATATCTACGAAAACAGGGAAATTTGAGGAATTAAACGATTGAGAGAACCTAAGGCATTCGAATCCACCCTAGACCTTGTATTAATAATTTGTATATCAACTATTGTTCCTTTATATTTTTACGAGTAATAAATTATATGAGAATCCATTATTAACACGAAGATATGATCGCGTAAGCACAATAAATTAATTCTACTTGTTCAATTTAAATCTCAGCCATATATATAAATCTAAAGCATACATGTCTGTTTAAGGCACAAGCTATCAAAAGATTTAATTAGTGGGCTTCTCAGTGGGGGCACTACCAGTAAGATATTTAGGCTTACATTTGTTCACAACAAGGCTTAAGTCTGGAGATTGCTTACCTCTTATCCAGAAGTTGAATTCAAAGTTGCAAAACTAGAAAGGGAAACTTATGTCATATGTAGGGAGACTACAGCTTATTAAGTCAATACTTAGCAATCTGAATGTCTTCTGGATCTCAGCCTTCATACTTCCACAAAAAATCATCTCTGACATCAACAAGATATGTAGGAATTTCTTATGGAAGGGACATGATGCTACAAATTCTCATGCAAGCATTAGCTGGACAGATGTGTGTTTTCCATATGATGAAGGGGGTCTAGGCATAAGAGACCTTGAGGTTACCAATCATGCTGCAAATATGAGACATCTATGGCATATTGTAAGTCATAGAGATTCAATGTGGGTTCACTGGGTGAAGCAACATCTCATCAAAGAGAGGAATTTTTCGCAGCTGAAAACTCCCAAAGATTGTTCATGAAGCTGGAGGTCTATTCTTAAAGAAAGGGATAAGGCCATGTACCTAGTGCAGCACCTTATTGGCAATGGGCAAAACACATAGTTCTGGCATGACCCATGGCTGGCTACTGGCATACTTAGAGCACATTTTCCTAATGTTCTAAGGTATGACTCTTTATGTCAATTGAATGCTAATGTTTCTAACATGATTGTTGATAACAGATGGGAGTTCCCTGAGCAAGTGAGAATTCATATTCAAGATATTGCCAGGCAAGCACAAGAAAGCATTCTCATAGGTGGGGGTCCAGATGAAGTTATTTGGGCACCATCTGTGTTTGGAGATTACAGCTTGAAACATACTTTTGAGGCTATTAGAGAAATAAAACCACCTGTTACATGGAGTAAGATAGTCTGGTTCTCAAGCAGGATACCAAGGCATTCTTTTACAACCTGGATGGTTTTGAAAGGAGGACTAAAGACACAAAGCAAGTTGAGACAATGGGGTGTGTTACAAATAGACACTAGTGTTTTATGTTGGCAACATTCCGAGACTGAGGAGCACCTCTTCTACAATTGCAATTTCTCAAAGAGTGTATGGGCTACAATTTTAAACAAGGCAGGGTATGCAAGGAATAGAGCAGCAACGTGGGATCAAGAACTCCACTGGTTAATCACTGCAAGCACTGGTAAGAGCATAGAATCAACTGCACTTAGGCTATGTTTTAATGCCTATGTGTACTGGGTTTGGAGGGAAAGAAATGCAAGGATCTTCAAGCAACAAGATTCACTAGCAACTAGAGTGGCAAAAAACATAGGAGATGATGTTAAGATAAAGCTTCAGTCACTCAAGTTCAGTATGGACTATGGACCAGATAGGCAGAGAATGGAGGACATATGGGATATTCAGATTGCAGCAAACCACTACCAAGCAAAGTGGTGCAAATGGGAGATACCAACAGATCATAGCAAAACAATACTTAACACAGATGGGACTCTTCAGGGAGCACTAGGAGGTTGGGCAGCAGTTCTAAGAGACAAGGAAGGGAAAGTACTAGCAGCAGCAAAAGGGAAATCAGACTATAATAGTATTGCTTTGATTGAATTCCAGGGCTTGGAGAAAGGGATCCATTTAGCACTCATGCATGGGGTCCAAAACCTTGAAGCAAGAACAGATTCAGAGAATGTAGTAACATTCATAAACAACAATGCAGTTCCATGGCAAGCTAAGCACATGAAAAGGAGGGTCCAATCTATGATAGCACAGCTACAACAGTTCCAGATCATTCACACCTACAGAGAAGCTAATCAATTAGCCGATGCATTAGCTTCACAGATTCCGACAGTAGATTATGTTAACATTGTACCTAGTTCCTTCTCGGAGGATATTAGAAAAACTGTGTATGATGATAGTATAGGCACTGCCTATAAGAGATTGTAATGCTCCTTTTATGATTCTTTATGAAACGGGGTAGGGGACCCCTGCAACAACCCCGCTT